CTCGTTACGTCGACAACCAAGAGACGACAAATAAAACTTTGGCCCGATTTTGCTTCCCCCTCTCTATGGTGTGCACCTTCTTTTTCTTCCTTTTTCTGCGACTCCTCCTCCTATGGCGTGATCTTTTTTTATCATCAACCGCTTGCTGCTGTAACTGGCCACGCGTGTTCCTTTCTTCGATTCTTTCTTTTTCTATGACGTTCCTTTCCACCACGAGAGAGACTGGCCCCAGATGAACCACTGCTCTCGTTCGTCTTCCCTCTTCTTCTCAATTCTCGTAATTTCTGTTAGGTTCCCTCGCTTAAAATGACTTTTCTTCCTTTCGTTTTTACAAATTTCTTTCCGTTTCGAAGATCTTTCTTACATGGACAGACTGTTGTCAAATAGATAATACACGTATGGTCGGTTAAAACTCACGAGAACATACACGTGTCGCATTTGGTATAACCGTAACATACTCAATCCCATGGAAGACTATCCTGTGGACGATTGCACTCAAGCGACATTCTCGTGGCTCATCTAGAAACGTACTTCGAAATCGTTCACAGCAAGATCGAATTTTCGCTGAGTCGACTGTTCACGCGATACTAGACCCGAGAATACAAAACCTTGTTGTCTTGCACACTTGGAACGATGGCTATCTTCCGACGATAACGATACTACCTATCACGATACGCCAGTTTCCCTCGATTTCGTTCCCCAACGAATCAGAGCTAATCTTCCAATTACGTTAATCTATCTTCTACAAACGGCGATCAAAAAATCGACCGATTTTGACTAAAAATGTTCGACGTTTACTTTGATATCGAATGAATCGCGCAACGAGATAGTATATTAGATTAAAACGCATTACACATTGAAATATCTAGTAGAAGAAAACATACATATTTGTAAATTCTGCATTCTTAAAATGAAACATTCGTAAAATCATCATTTCGATCTATTTTCACACGTAGAATAAGTTACTACCGATTGTCCATTCTTATCAACCCGGGGACTAACCAAGTTCAAGTATATTTGATACGAGTTCTCAAATGTAATTTTTGTTAAAAACAGATCGTTATGCGAAAAAATGTTATTCTATATTTTCAACTTATTTTTACCACGATTTCGGAAGCATTCTGTATATTTTTCTTCTTGATATAAATCGACCGAGTTTATTGTAAGTATTGGTCGAATAGATCAGATCGAATTAAGATAGTTAATCATCCTGATAGAGGCATATATTCTCCACGCTTTCGCGATTTTCCAGCGCGCTAGATCGTCGTAGATCTAGTAAAGGAATGGGTATCACGTGCCGATCTACGACACGCTACGGCAATCGGCCTTGATCGACGAAACTATAGCTCCCGCAAATGCGGAAATGATACCTGATTCTGAGTAGTTAATGATTAACACATTATTCAGGTGCGATATGCATTTACAATAAACTATTGTTTATTGAAGAAATGCAAAGAAGCATGTAACGGCAGATTTCTGATTAATGTATGAGATCTATTTCAAAGATTTCGTAAGTGCGTGTTAGCAAAATAAAAACTTTAAAAGTCGATTAAGAAAAGTACATGTTACATAATTTGTCCGCTTCAGACAGAGATCAGTTGTTTACCAATCCCTACTAACAGAATCGCTTAGAACCAAAACGTTAACATAGAGAATAAATTTCTTTATTGTACTAAATTGTGTATTGTAATAATTGCCGAAATATAAAACTATATAGAATATATTATTCGCGTATCGCTCAACTATCTCTGTGTATCATCAATAGTATACGTATTACCAAATAGTTAAGAATCACGGGGAAATTTTTCGACAATTATCAAACTAATAATATTATCGTAAATCGATCGATAAAGAAAATTGGTTTCTGAATATTACGTCCTTTCGGTCAGAATTAATTTTCTCAGCGTTGGTTAACGAACGATTAAAAACGAATATAGGCCTATCTTACCCAACGATACATAGATATTTTTCGCTGCTCTTAATTATTTCAGTTCGAGGAAATCCGATTAAACGTAATCGGGTGTCACAGAAAAATTTCTTGAAATCGACGTGAAGATAAATTGGACGTATTACAGGCGAGGTTACTAAAAATAGCTTAGGATTTGATAATTCCACGAACATATAAACAACCTATTAATATATGGAACTAATTGGAAAAAGAAAGTTTCCAGAAGGTCGCATGTCGGCTCAACATTCGAATACACTACAATGCTACCAAACGAAACGATGGTATGCGTGCCTCTATCGCACCGTGCAAGAGATACATCCACACCTACACAAGCATATACTACGTATCTACGTAGCCTCAAGCAGAGAGAGTTCTCCTTTTCCTCCAAATGGGGTTACACGAAGAACCGAACTATCATTATAAATTCACGTAATAACGCGCTACTACATTCATGCACATATAAATATATGATATATATCTGTATATATGTAGACACATTATGATACACTAGGTACACAACATATGCACATAAAACGCTATGCACATGGGCATCTTTCGAACGTCACAGTGATCGAGATATGATAACTATTGTTTACGTAGCCAGTGATTGTTAAGAAGCAATTTGGTCGTTTGTTGATCGTTTGTCGAACGAAATTAATTTATTAATGCATTTTATAAGTAGACTCTTATCGGTTGAACGACCATTCGGTAAGTTAAACAAATTTAGAAAATATGTATATCTTATATGGAAAAGCCACAAGCCCGAAATACTTACACAAGGGTACCATAACTCTTTATCTCCGTGTGGGTTGGTTTCTTTGATTATGCCGCTCAATATTAACATACATACATACATAATACGCGTAATACTAACGCTTTTGATTTATCTGAATTTTAATGATTTCGAGAAGACGAGCTGACTATTTTTGCGACGAGTCTGATTTATCTGTCACGTACATCGTGTACCATTTTCGCGTTAGTTTCGTATCTTAGAAAAGCTACTGTGAGAAAATAAATATATGATATATGATATCGTAGTACATGATATCGTGTATATGTAAATACACATACAGTAAGTTTTCATGGTAATCGTGAATTTTTAGGTTATAACTATCATTTCCTTTTTTAAATTTTATAAGTTTACTGTATTGAATACAACTGATGCCGTTCTAACAAAGTAAATATATACAACACGAAACTTGCCATTAGAATGAATACCTTGTGCACACGTGGAAAAAACGAAAACAAGTACAGAGTACGATTTATGTACAGTGTAGTTTGTTTTTCTACCGCGATACAATACAACGTATACAAAAAAGCAACAAAGTTCGCTCTTTGGCCTTAGAATGGAATTATCCCAAAGGAACACGATATCGCAAGGACATCTACATCAAATGTAACAATGCTCGATTCGAGTGCATGTAATTTCGTTTGAATGACGCGCGATTTAGATGAAAGGAAAAAGAATTCGTTATATCCCCGCCCAGGTTTTTGAGGCCCTATGGGTTTTACCGATCTAACGTGGCGGTCTACGTAAAAACCAAAGTCTGAATCAAGTTGGTGAATTACCGCATTTCCTTGTACGCGAAACTTTTTTTCACTTTGATTGTCCCGCTTAAACAGTATACGCAATCGCAGCTGGAGAACAAATGAAAAGAGATCGAATTATTAGAGGGAAGAGACATAAAGTAATCTTATAACGTAGGGTAGAGAGAAAAAGATATCGGTAATGGAAGAGGAACAAAAAGAGTATAAGAGGAACAGAGAGAGAGGGGGGAACTCAACTCGGAGGAAACGCGATTGCGTCAAACACTCACGCACTCACTCACGCATATGCAACGCGAAATGCGCGCGCGCGATTCACTGAATTTGTCTTTGGAGTTCGTCAATTCCAAGAGCTGAACAGTGCCTGTCTACGTACAATCATGCCATCGAACAGAGTAGAATATCGTAGCTAACGGCATGCCTGGAATTTTCTCGTGAAAATTGGGGAAACTTCAGGTAGAAGCAGTAATGTCCATACGGGTGCTCTGAGCTTTAATGTTACGATTCACTTACCTTCTTTTCTCCTTGTGTTTCTTCTCTTTCTTCGGTGGATCCATAGCTCGACGAAAAATTTTAAAGAAAGTTTTCTCAAATGGTACAACACTGTGGGATAGTCTCAGTCACTGCTAAGTAACGTATTTAACTTACAGCCCGACACAGGCTCGTCACAAAATTCTTCGTGCTTGATTGTCTCTGCCGTACTTTGCTCGCACCGACTCTCTCGTGTTCTCCCGTTATCAAAATCGATGCACCAACATACGTTCTTCACACGGTATGCGACGTCACCTCTGCTCAGTTACTTTCATTAGCGTGATGAAACGAAAACACATTGTGCTTCTCTATACGTACGAAACGCTCGACGAACGCCAAACTCATGGTGTGATGGCGATGATGATGACGATGGTGAAGGTAGTAGTGTAGTAGTAGTGAGATTCGTTACAACAGTGGTGGTGGTAAACGACCGCGGCGTGGTGGTAGAGGTTGTATACACGAGACCGACTATCCCAAGGGTTGGAACGAAAGAGGGGAGGCCGTGAAGTTGACGTCACAACACAGGTTCCATCTTTCTCGTAGAGAAAGATCGCACCGCCATCAAACGGCCGTGACGTCAACCATTTTGTTGCCGCGCTATAAAGTAGGACATTCAAAACTTGATGTCACAATAAGAAAAAATTATCTCTCTTCCTAACTTGTGCGTCACAAGTGAAAGGAGAAGGCAATAATGTATTAATTCGAGGAACTATTTATTATTTATTACGCACAAAGTATATACAATCGATTGAGATACAGTGAACAAAAGCGAAAAATAAAACTATTAATTGCATGTTTAAGTAATTTGCTTTAACTTTTAAATGAAAAATAATACGTATATCTGCCTGATGAGGTTCAGCTTTCTTGTAATAAAATGAAAGTTACAATCAAATAGATTGGTTTCTCCTCGTTAACAACATGTTGTAAATGTTGTGAATGCCATGAATTATTGTACTAGAGGTTTAAAACAGATAGGTAAAAAGCAGCATTTAGGAGTACTTTATTTTGTACAAGAATGCTTTCTTACACAACCTATTTTTTATAAAATTATCAGAGATCTTCTTTCATTAAGTCTTGGTGAAAATTTACTCTCACTATGCTACGCAAATACATTAATTATTTATTCACTGGCAACAAATCTTCACTTAACATTAGATTGTTCTATTCCCGTTCCAATACTGGATGTATGGGGTAACTCTTTTACTTTTGATTCTAAGTGAGAATCTTTGTTATCGACCTCTAAATTTTTTTTATGCTCGTCCATTGGATCTTCGCCATCTTCCAAATCCTCCAAAGATCCTCCTCTCTTTCCATATAATGCTGGATATTCTACCATGCATGTTTGCATGGTTTTAAATGCATTGTAACAGTCTGAACCTTTCGGTTCTGCAGTTGAGTAATGGAAACAAGAAAAGGCCTCACGGAATTCCAAACCACATGGTCCAGTAGCCATACCTCCCAAACATGGGCAATTCCAATTAATTTCTCCGCTGGATAATAAGAGACCAGGACTTGGTTCTGGTTCTGGAAGTTCTATTTTACTAGGCGTTGCATGATCTTCCTTTGTAGCAAAGATTATAGTATCTTTACCTTCTTTGTGGATGAATGGCATTATTAACTAATTCATAAAACTGCAAAAGGCAAAGATATGAACTTGTTCTTTAAAAAAGAAAATAGAAATATATAATGTTGAGTTTTTCCAAATTCAATTTGTTCTAAATCTTTGTACTTTAATGTTGATAATTCCGACTATTTGCACTAAATGATAATAAATTTGCCGAAGCACGATGAATAGCATAGATGCAAGTATGCCCTTCGTATTTTCCAGCTACGACTAAAGCTGCCCGAAGACGTACATAACAATCATCAGTGCACCTTAGAACACATCTGTGTTCCTTTGAATCAAATTTTAGGATATCTATGGTACCCGTGGTTCCTTCTTCGCCGAACAATTGTTTTATTGATTGAAGAATGTTCTTCTTTAGATAGACCTCTGTAATTTCAAGACTACGGCTGTCTGGCAGTATTCTACAAATAAAAAAACATATTCTGAGTATACAGATTTTTCCTTATAAATGTAAAGTATAGTCACCGAAGTTATGAATAGAAGGACAAATCGCATAAACATCTACAAATTACAAATGAAAAATTATTTCATCAGATTGCACAGTAAACGAATATGATTAAATCATAAAAGTAAGAAATGTAAATCATGAATGAAATAGAGTACATTTTCTTAAAATAAGATAGTTAACTGTATTTTCAAAACGCATTTACTTAATTAACTCATATTTAACTTTTTACTGCAATCTTTATCTATATAGATTATATCACTCTCGAAATCTAGGTTAGGTTATATGTGTAAAGATAAAGATCTTAAAAGCTGATTAAATGTACTAACAGAGAAACGTCTAAATAATACATAGTACACACAACACTAACTCCCGACTCACATTTGATATCTACGAATTTAAAACAGCACTTCTGAAGAGGTTCCGTATAAATACTGCGGCACTTCATTCATGCCTTTCCAACAAAGCTAGACAACGCATTGTGCGAAAAATAGATGGCGCTATCGGTCGGTGACATCGCAATTTTTAACTTTAAGTACTGTATTTTATTATCAGTGTCTAATTTTTTATGATACATTGTCATGCGTTGATTTTCAATCGGAACTATAGTAATAAGAAAAGTATACTATCTTGAAAATTATTATCTAGAAATACTTATAGGGGAATTACGAAAGAACGATATAACTGACTATAAACGTTATCCAATGAAATGATTGGATTCCTAGGAAATGTCTTAATGCGATTGCTAGTTATAAAATGGTTATACAAATTCAAGGTAGTCGATAAACTAGCCTTTATCCTGTGAAATTCTGCAAGACATTAGGGTGGATAAAGAATTCGTCGACATAAACCTAAAGCGTCTTATATATCAATAGTTAACCCTCATTCTACCTTTAAAATCTTGTCAACTAAAAATTTTAAATCTTAATTTGTAATCTCTTAATGACTTATAAGGCAGTACGTATTCGTTTTCTTTTATAAAATGGTAATTTACTACATATTTCCCAATTAATAACTTTCTAATACATTTAACAATGATTTCGGTAAATTGTTTAATGCGTCAGTATCTTTAAATAATAACAAACGAAATTAAAAACTAATTACATCGAGAGTTTAGGAAATTATTTTAACTGGACTCGAAAGCGCAACTTCTTCGCGCAAGGTCAATGCTAATGTCAATAGCCAAGGTTAAAAGCGGTTACAAGGAGAACTTTGAACTTTCACTGACAGTAGCTACATTTTTATGACATTTCAGTAGTTTCCTGATTGTAAAAAAAGTGAAGTTATCTTGTTCATTTTTTCTTTCTCTATCTTTTACCGTATCATGGGATTATATTGCTGATATCGGAGGAGAAAAAAAAACGATCGTGCATTGTGACGTTGAACCCTAATATCGATTGAGACATGAAAGAAGAACGGAAGTACATTAGATTTCGTACTTGCTGTAACATTTACGCTTCTCTTTTGACACCCGGAACATCTGTCCTCCTTTTCTTCAATACCGACTGATTTTGACAAATTCAGGGATACATTCGAATGTGCGATCTGCGAAAGAATTGATGCTTAGGTTACCTGGAGCATTATTCGAGTCTCTGAGCAATTGCGAATCCAGCGACTGGGCTATCCAAGACCCTTGTGCTTATCCTTTTCACTGTTCTATGTGGGTCCTGTATACAAGGCCTCCCCATTGGCGTAACGCGAAGAGAATAGGACTAGAGCATTATCCATAAATCAGCCATACAGGTCAAAAATTTTTGTTTCATGGCACAAACCTGAAAAATCTTTTTATTATTGGGACCGTCATTACGCTATAATCCGTCATGATGGATTACGCGGTCCGGTCATGGGATTTTCATTATTCCATGCAGACTATTTATATAAGCGCTAATCCAATGATGTAGAAGGGTGGAAGCACTCTCGTAGAGTGTTTCACTATTTCAAAATATTCTAAGAATGAATAGACTTTCTCGTTTCTCCATAAACTTCTAGGATATCTGGCGAAAATTTGCAGGTAAAAGAATACTTTTTACTCGGCGAAGAAATGGATAAGTCAAGCAAAGAATGGTACATATACGATGGCCGGAATGTGTGGCGTAGCAACTTGCGGTGCGCTAAAAGGAAATCGCAGGAACATGTGAAAATTTACAACTCGAAAATATCGATGCGCTTTACGTGGTTACGCTCTCTGGCCATCTTTCTAGCCCCATTGCAGTCGAAGATGCAATCAAACCGGACTTCTTTTATTTAAGGAGACGATCGATGATGCGATGCTTGAAACACGCGCGCGTGTGCATCAAAAACCCTGAGCTTTAATTTCGTTCGTATATAACGTATCAATTGTGAAAAAGCATGTATACATGGAACGCATAAAGATACGCTCGTATAACGCGTATCATATACAACTACATAAGTCCTACATTTGCCGGCGCGATAATGAAATTTTTAAATGACAACATTTTACGTTTTATTGGTCACAAGTGATTCGATAGATTTTATGAGGAAATTTATGGAAGTTTTGGAAAATACGTTTCGCGATACGCGTCTGTGAAACGTTGCAGAATAATCTACAATTCCCCCTTAGCGACTATAATTTCGTATCGAGTTCGATAGAAACGTGTCATCGAATACAATAGAAGACTAATGACGTCACGGCAACTATACCACGGAAAGTGGTGTATTCGCCGGAATGTCATGAATAACAAAGAATCGTAAAGTCATCGTATTTATACGGCTGTATTTAATCGCGGACTCGTCGATACTTTCAAAAAAAAAAATAAAAAAATAAAAAAAAAAGTAGAAAAAGAAGAAAGCATTCGCAACGAAATATTTCACGCGCGATGGAACATTATCGGGCGAGGCTCTCACTGAAAAACAATGCATGGTATCAGACCGAAGGAATGTTAAATAGAATGAAACGTCATGACAAAAATAATGGCAACAAAAGGTTGAAATTGCACCAGGAAGCGTGGTTCCTGTACTTCATTGTGACTGCCCGGGGTCGCACACCTTCTGTATGCAAGTTTATTCAGTTCGAACGGGAGGTTACGCGCTCAAAGGTTAAAAGATCTTGCACCTACCGTGCGTAAACGCTTTTAAAATACACGTGATATACCATGCGACATTTCTTTTTTCTTTCCTTTTTTTTACGACGTGGCAAATCGTAATTCAATGTCCGGACTACCGGGATGGCGCATAATTTATTTGATGAGCGCGTGCGCGTTACGCAATCCATCGAGAATGAGGAAAACGGAAGAAGACAGCAAGATGCAACGAAAATAAGAACATTCCTCATGATCATTAAACTCCGTACCTACACGAGCCGCCGATGGGACTGGTTCTCCTTGACGATACCGCACGCGTCATATTGCCGTTAGTAAAATCTGTCGATTCAGTTCTCTGAAAATCACTGTTACAAACGATCTCCCCTTCTTTCCGTTGCCTTCCAGTTTCACGATAGGCGACAAGCGACAACACAAGCGTGTCTTTCTTTCGCACCCTACACGCTGTGTCACCGTAGGAGTCCAAGAACCACGATGGACAAGGAGTCATTTCACTGCAGATATTTTGCACAGCCAAACTTGATTAGCATGTGTATAAAGTGGAAATAAGATGGAACTAGAAATGAATAGTAGTAGAAGTTGTTTTAACATGAAATATAAATATATTTGGGTGGTATTGTACAGTCAGTGATTCGTTCGTATATACAGAATTATGTACATGCCGAACAGTACGTTCTCGAATACTCTGCGCGTAATCTCACACATGCATACATTTGACGAATCGGTCGACCCACACGTGTTTTTTTTTTCTGAAATAGCCATCTATTCATTCGGATCCACACATCCATCTCATCCATTTCTTGGATCCGCAAATCTCTTTCTCTCTCTCTCTTTCTCTCTCTCTCTCTCTCTCTCGCGCGCGCGCTCTAGATTTTCTTTTTTTTTATTATCCTGTGTTTTTATAAGCCCAACGGTATTTCCTTTGGCGGTCGTTTACAATTTCAACGTTGCGATTAATTAGGACGTCGGCCGCCGGACAATTCCTTTCTACGAGTACACTGGCGCCTTTTTGCGAGCTTTTTATCGCTTGATTTCCTTTTTCTCAGTCTAAGGTCAACCTAAGCGGATTTTTTTGATCATTTACTGTCGTTATTTCATGACTTTTTTTCTTCTTTACGTAACTCGTCTTTTTTTTATCTTTAGCCTGCAATTTTTTTTATCATTTATTTACTGTTACAGAACTACTTGTTACTTGTATTTTTATTTTTATTTTTTTTGCTTTTTAGTCCGCGTTACAAACCACAACGAGGTATCGTTACTTTAGACTTCATGACTACAGTTAAGAGAATAAGCGTAGAAATGTATCACACTAGAGACTTGTACATTATCTTAAATGCGTAGGTATGTTCTGTTTTTTTTTCATTTTCTTTTTACTGATAATACAGTAGTAGTTGGTTAGCTAGCTTTACCCCCCAGAAAACGAAGATCCCGTAGTCGTTCGAGAACCGAGCAGAGGATCGTCAAACGCCGAGCGCGTCTACGACGGCAATGGCGGCGATGGATAAACAAGGCGACACACGTGGCGCGTTTAGCAAAAGGTAGACGCTCAGTGCGCACATATAAACATTTTACTCACACTCATGCATTCTCTCTCTCTCTCTCTCTGTTCCTCGTAAAAGCTCTCCAAAGTCCAACACACAACACCATGACGGGAAGAAATAACAGGCGCTTCGGCTCGAATTTTAACGAACGATCGAGCAAAGTAAACATACACGCGCACACACGCCGCTCTAACGAACGCTCCAGCCAACAGACACGCGGTAGGTAGTGGCTTCAGCGATCAGAAACTTTCGATTAATCACGAAATCAAGGAACTAGAAGGAGAACAATCGCTCGTTAAGTTACACGCTTTTGGTGCAAACAGTCGGAGAAACGTAGGAAGCGAACAAACGGCACGTGGGGTCCAACCGTGGCCGCGCAAAGAGAAAGACTTTGTCTCCGGCAAATCGATCGTTCGCCACGTCGATGAGCCGTATCGCGATAAAGAGAGCCATTTCTTCCTTTCTTTCTCTCCTTTTTTTTTTTTCATTCGAAGGAATGCGATCGAACCAGTGCGACACGGCTGTCTATTTGACAGAAACCCATTCCTTCGTCCTTCTTTAAAATCGAAGGGGGGGAAGGAAAAATGTCGGTTCTTGAAGATGAAAAAGAAGGATAGAGGAAGAAGGTGTAGGTAGTAAAAATAGGAAAAGGAAGAGAGAAATAACAGGGAGAAACGTCGCGGAGGCTGTCAAACGGAAGAGGCACACGGTATGGTATCGATTGGCCGGAGAGGCAGGCCTCGGGTCGCTCCAGGGGCGTATTCAGTTGTCCCGTTTCGTGCTCGACTTTTGCGGTGGTAATTTTTGCCAGCTTGTCGCGAGTAAAGGATCGATCGTGGAGAGTTCGTCGAAGCGGAGATGGCAGACTGAGGGCGTGGTCCATCGTTTCGAATCGTTCGAACTATCCATAGATAGACAGAGTAACCTATAATATCCTGACGTCCGTGACACATGGACGTGTGTCTCTCCTCTTTATGGCCACGCGGTGCTCATTCCAGGATCGAGACTCTCCACCCTCCGATTCTTTCTTTCTTGCGCGCGTTATGGTCTATCTATCGCTTATGCCGCTATCTCCCCTCGAGTTCAACTATCGCAAGACCGCAGCAACCCCCTGGCACGACTATGTTTTCGACACAACTCCACCGTATATACCAGAGAGATTCGAGCGATTCGGTTGCAGGGACGACGATATTGCTTTTGCTGTAACGACGCGATCGAAATATCGAGAATTCGCGAGTGCAAAAAATTCACAAAGAGACGAGATAGAACGTATCGTAGGATAGGATGGAGAAAAAGAAAGAGTATCGCAGGATGGATGGATCGAGATTGAAAAAGATTCGGTAACTCGAAGCGAATTATAGGGGTAAGGAAGGAGTGGCGTGCTCGGCTGAGATCGAGCCGTGCCCCCGTATATAAACCGGGTACGCGCTGAAGCGCGTACAAAGAATAGCGTAAAATAGCGCACGTTATATTTGCCGAATCAGCTGGTGTACTCTGATATAGGAACAATTCGTGCGTCAGAGGTGGGTAGGGTCATTGTTAGATGCATACCGCGCAGCTTCTTAAGTGCTTTTCATTCGCCGGCTGACAGCACACAGTCCTCTCTACCTCTCTCTGTTCCTGCTCGAAGGCTAAGATCTGGGCCTGGTCGGAGAGAGAGATCATTCATCGAGAGAGGGGTAGACGATTTAAGAAAAATTCACGTAGAGCCGAGAAGGTGGTCCACCCACGGTGAGGCCCGCACGAGGAGCGCACATTGTAATTCGGGGTCTCGGCTGGAAGCAGAGAGAGGATCGTGGATCAAAAATGGCTTCGGGTCGGTCTTTATACAGCCGGTGCTTTCTGGCGTGCAACTACCTGCCAGAGAGCCACGGTTGGCACACGGCTCGTTCGCTCGTTCGCTGCTTCGCGTCCCTTTGCAAGAGAGTTTTACCTTTACCACACCACGTACCTGGCCAACCAGCCGGTCGCTCGCTAGCTCGCTCGCTCGCTCGCTCGTTCATTCGCTCGTTCACCCGTCCATCTACACGCTCCGTCGTCGTTTCTGCCCCAGTGTTCCTGGACCGGGTGTTCGGAGGGGTCCAGAGTTCCACAGAAAAAGCCTTGGGTATATCTTTACGAGCGGAGCCATAAAAGCCGTAGGAGTTCGTCGGTTTCTCGATTAACTCTCGCGGGGTATGGATCGTGTTCGACCGGCTACGATCCTTATTGTCGTGTATATTCTTCAAGCCCGTATAATGCATGAACGGAAGAACTACCGTCCTTCGAAACACCCAGTCATCCCGTCATTGTCGTTGTCATCGTAATCGTCATCGTCTCCGTAGTCATTGTCAGTTTCTAAAAGATGGAGCCGAGAGGACATCGATGATTTTGATTTCCCCAATCAAATTTTTCTCGTCTCTATTTCGTCGTTTCGCTTCTTTCCCTACCTTTGTTTCAATCTCGTCGTGTCTTACCAAAATGTCTCTTTTGGTCGCGTTTTCCTATGTCCTTTTTTGTTAACCATGTCTACCTTCGAGTGGTCTCCTCGCTTATCCGAATCATCTCGTCCGCGACAACAACGAGATCTCGTCGTTTGTTTCGTAGCAGCCTCGACGATCTGCTGTACCCCTCTTCTGCCCTTCTACATTCTCTTTTCCTATTCTTTTTCCTCTTCCCTTTGCTCAGGTATCATATACATGGGATGTGTATGTGTGTGTGTGTGCGTGCGTGCGTGCGTGTGTGTGTGTCTGTCTGCGTGTTCGTTCACATATGCTGCTATCGGTTCACAGTGAAGAACGGAAAAAAATGATTTTCCTTTCTTTCGATAAATCACGATCAATGAGGACAACGTCACTAGGTTGGATCGATACATTTCTCTAAGTTGTCCTCTGCGATCTATCCGCTCGCACATTATATTATACACACGCTCGCTCGCAATGCGCGAATAGTTTCCGTTTAAGAAAGCGCTACACACAGCGCCCTTCTTTTTCTCTCTTCGTCTTTCTCCTTCATCTCGCTGAACGCACACGTTATACGCGCTCTTTCCGATCGATCGTTATCTATATATCCCCCGTTCTTCTTCGTTTCGCTCGTTTTTCTCTGCCGCCGGACTCGTGATCGCGTAACTCTACTCGCTGGATGCGGCGATCGAGCAACTTATCTCAGCCGCGATCCCCTTTTTCTTTAATACTACATAATTATACACAGGATTAGGCGTTTCGTTATTCATTCAGTCGAAGTGTAAGTGAGGGCGCTAGCTCGTTTAATATATTAATTATTTGAGGCAGTTTACGTCATTTTGTTTAAGGCCGAGTTAATAGTAGTGAACTATGTTTTTTGAGAAGGTGTACGCACGCGTTTAAGCCGCGCCGCGCCACGCCATTCTTCGTAGCTGATTCACGGTGAACGGACAACCAGGAGGAGTACACACCACTTTGTGTCCCATGGTCTGCTGTCTTGCGAAAATCTACTGGCAATTTAATTTAATTTCGAACGGCTGATGAATACTGTTTTTCTCGTTGGGAACAGGAACCCGTCGGGGCCCCTCGCCATCGAAAGTGGCATACTTTGAGCTCTCTTATCTTTAACGGGCCTCTTTTTCTCGTTTCCTCTTTCCTTGTTGTCCGTCGAACGTGAATCGAGCTTTTATCCGGTGCGCGTCTACTGTATACGCACAAAAGTACGTTCGTATATAGTGGAGGGCGAGGCACGTTCGAGCACAGATTCTCTATTTTTCTTTCATTTCTTTCGCTTCTTTTCATCTTTCTCTTTCATTCTTTCTTTCTCTCTCTCTCTCTCCATCAAACGACGCGATGCACACGTATCTCGAGAATAAGCTTGACCGTATATTTTACGTATAGTTCGTTACGCGCGACGTAGGACAAAATATTTGATGCCAGACTTTTTTTTCTTTTTCTCGTACCCGCTTACGGAGGAAGCACGTTTTATTACAGAGTAAATATATGCCTTGTTCTCGCCGACTACAAACGCGATAAACAATCGAAGAAGAAGACTGTTTTTGCGGATCGATCGAAAGAAAAAGAAAAAGTAAAAGGGAAACGGAGAAATAAGAGAGAGAAACAAAAGAAAAAACGAGAAGGAAAAGGGGTAAAGGAACACTGAACGGAGAAAATAATCGGTTCGGTGTACAAATGCATTCACTGAATGCAACGTTAAATAAAAAAATTACCGGAACGACCGCACATGCCGTGTATTATTTCCTTCGAGTTACACACGTGTCGCGTCGTGTTCAGTTGTGTGGGATTGTGTGTACTCTGGCTGTCTCGGTGGGTACGTTCACATTCGCTCTTTATAACGTAGAACCAGCGGACGCACGATGCTCTTTGAAAATATATCTTCGATCGCAACGTTCCTAACCTAATTGAACGCAACACGGTAGAATAGAGAGACCGAGGATGAAATTTCAGTGGAACGGAAAGAGATTTCGCCACCACAGAACCACGAATAACCGTGTGTTCCGTGAGAAGAGGAGAATCGTGAAATCGAACACAAAAAAAAAAAAAAAAAGGGGGGAAA